AGACAAGAGCCGCTGCACGAAAGAATCGAGTTCCATCAGAGTATTGATCTGATGACAACTCCACTGGCCCTAGGATATTGACTGAAGGCCAAGCGCTTCTGTTAGATTTTTGATCTAGTGACAGTTCCGTATCTGTTTTTGGAGTATTGGTGTGAGACAGACCTTGTTAGATACAACAGCAGGATATCATTAAGTGGCTAACAGACAGACTCATTGGTTTTCCGGAAAAATCTGTAAAAGTAGAATTGCTACAAATTATAAAATTAAATAAGCTTCTAGCTTGATGATGAATATAAAGGAAATAAAAAGGTAAAGGAAGAGGTAAAGTGGTAAATCACATGATTTTTACACAAATTTTTTGTAAGTTTTTATTTAAATAAACAGTATTTCAGCATCAGTACATTGATCTCTAGATTACAAAATACTTTGTAATATCTCTGATTAAATATTTTTTAGGTTTGGCATAATGGTAAGAAAGTCTTTGTCTGCCAAAAATTATTTTTCTCTAGTTCTAACTGCGGTCCAAGAAGAATTCATACGATAGTGAGAAAAAAGATGCTTGGCAGTGATATAAAAGGTCGTGGTGGAGACAGAAAGTCTAAGAAAAATTGTCTTAAATTAGAAAGTTTCATGAACTTTTTTTCGTCTTTGAAGGCCATGAAAAATACTATGGTAAAGGCAAGTCTAAAAACAATCTATTTGTTATTTGAGTTAAACATAACTTGAGAGTTAGGATAAGATTCAAGATAATTCACTCCAAACAAACTATAAGTACTTTAGTCGAATTTTCAGTAATAAGTTTAATATAGGTAGATAGTACTCAAAAAATGTTTGTCTTTATTTTTTTACTAACCTGCTCGTTTGTTCTAGCCTTTGGAAGTCCAGCTACTGAACATGTGTGGCTTTTGCATAAGAACTACTGAGAACTGAGATAAATACCATCAAGGATGAAGAGCAAAGAATAAAATTTTTTTATTTCAGTTTTTTAAATCAATGAAGGAGAAATCTGTTGATAGCGTGGCATATTGCTTTGATCTGCAACAGGTCCAAAAGCTCCTATTACGGAAGAATTCTATGCTCAGCAACTGTCTTTTTATGCATTTTGTGTGACAGATATTTTAAGAAAAACTCCTGTTTTTTATACATGGTTTGAGCATGAAGCAGGATGAGGTGTGATAGATCTAATTTCCGTGTTGACTGACCTTCTAAAAAAGACCTTGATTTTGACCCAGATATTAAACATCTAAGATTTTTTTTCAGGTGGATGTGCATGTGAATGGCGTTTTGTCCATCAAGAATTTTTTTTTACAAAAACTAGTAAAGCTTGATGGACTTCCTGAAAAATGGTCTAGTGCGATATTAAAGTCTGCTCCTCAAGTGTAAAATATGTTGTATATCTACAAAATATTTTTAAATTAATCCATCTTTGTATTTTCACTATAGTTGATTGTAAAATATTTTTTTTATTAATTAAAGTTAAATCTAAAATAAATTCGTATTGTGACAATTAAAACCCATTGTTTTCTTTTAATAAGTAATTTTAACGGAAAAAGTTTACAACGTTTAAAACTTAAAGTTAGATTTAAAGTTGTTTTAAATAATTCATATGACCACTTCAGAATTTTCTCCATAGTACGCCCGCTAGGGTCTTCAAAGTAATTAAAACAATAATAGGTTATTGTTAATATGGGTCAGTTATTGTTATATTTCCTCAACACAGGTAGGTACAGATAACAGTTTTAAATTCACGTCATTTTTAACGACAGACTCTATTACAAAATACTTATTTGGTTTGAGCCTCCGTGCAGTAAATTTCCTTAAAATTTTGATTCATTGCTCCGTCTCGATTGCGAAAAGATTATGGATCATAACTAAAATCAACAAATAGACTCATTTCGGAAATTTTAATACTAACGTTTATTTTTTTTTTTTTTTTTTTAACGTTAACGTTTATTTGGCTAATAATGATTTTATGGGTTGCCATATTCCAAAATATATAAATACTAATAATATATAATATATTATAGAATAGAATTTATTTAATCAATATACAAAAATAGTTTTGTTTTTGACAAGTCAAAGAATAGTGACAATACTTATAAAACATATAAATTTTTTTTGGATAATTTAAACATTACAAACATGTATGTATTTAATATTAACAGTTAAAAAAAACGACAAACACACTTTGTGGAATTATAAAAAACATGAAATATAATTATAATAGGCAACTGCCCTGACCAAACTAGTACTATTGTGTAAAAGCTGTACTTAAGTACTCCGTTTTTGAATAGAAACAATGTTTCAAAAAGTGTGATTTGATTTTATGCTTAAATGATAACAAGTGAAGACTTTTTACTTCATCTGGCAAAAAGTTATACAAACTAACGTCAGTCGAATTTTTTACGCTCTTTGTCAACCTAAAACGTTGTGCTCTAATAGCATCTCTAGATCTTGTATCGTGATCATGGACGTTGGAGTTTACGTTAAACTTACCTTTGTTGGCATGAATTTCAATCAGCGTCTCATATATATAGAGTGAAGGTAGTGGCATAATACCTAAATCCAGAAATAAAGGTTTACAGTGTTCCCTATACTCTGCTCTTGCAAGTATCCTCACTACTCTTTTTTGTAATTTAAAAATTCGATCTGCGTAAGAAGAATTACCCAAACAGTTATTCCGTACTGTAAATGGCTATGAAATAGTGCAAAGTAGCACATTCTAAGGGTATTTTTAGGAATCATATAAACTAAGTTGCGTATTAAAAATATACTTGTAGCAAGTCTAGAACTTAAGTAATCTATATGAGCACTCCAATCCAAATTATCGTCTATAAAGATTCCTAATAGTTTAACACTATTTCTTAAGATATACTTCCAATCAGAACTAAAAATCAAATTCTGATTTTTCTCTTCATTTAGCATTAGCCCATTATGTGAGAACCAGTTTTTTGCTTTCTTGGTATCACTATCTATTTTAATTTTTAAATTATTCTGATTAATATCAGTATTTATGAGAGTTGTATCATCTGCGAAGCAAACACATTTTATAGGAAAAGTGTAGTGAAATAAATCGTTCAGATAAATAAGAAACAAAGTGGGTCCTAATATCGAACCTTGAGGTACACCATATTCGACAGTGTTAAACTCAGAATAGCTGTTATTAAGAAAAACTGCCTGTTTTCTATTTGTTAGGTATGATCTAAATAGATTAAGAGTGTTTCCCCTAATACCGTACTTATGCATTTTTTCCAACAGTAATTCATGCGAAACACAGTCAAAAGCTTTGGATAAGTCACACAATGTCAAAGACACAAAATGACCTTCCTCCAAGCCATCAACTATATCTCTCACAATTTTCTGTATAGCTAGTGTAGTGCTACACTTTTTTCTAAAGCCATATTGGTTACAGTGAAGTATTTTGTGTTTTTCTAGATATTCTACCAAACGAACATTTAGAATACTCTCAAAAATTTTGCCGAAAATGGGAATGATTGAGATGGGACGGTAATTTCCAATTTCATCTAAAGCTCCCTTTTTGAACACTGGTAGCACTTTTGTTACTTTTAAAACATCTGGGAAAATCCCCTCAGTAAGACAATTATTATAAAGTATAATTAATTTGTCAATAATAATATCGATTGTTTCCACAATTATTTTTTTGTTTAAGAAATAAAAATCCGTGCAGTGTGAATTTTTCAATCTATGCAAAACATTCCTGATTTCAGTATCACTAACAGGTAATAAAAATAAAGAGTTGCAAGGAGAGTGTACATCTTTCAAAAAATCTATGGCTACATTTTCATTTGTAGAATTAAAAGAACTTCTAATATGTTTAATTACTGAAGTAAAGTAATTATTGAAATCGTTTGATGTAATCGCGCTTGGACAGACTTTTTTATTTTGAAATTTATTTCTGTGATAATTTATAACTTTCCAACTATCACGAGATATATTTTCAGAATTGGAAAAAAAATTTTCATAAGCCAGTTTTTTCTTTAATGATATTGTTGATTTATAGTGCTTCTTAAATTTTTTATACTCACTATATTCCTTTGTAACATCAGCAATTATCTTGACTGTGGAAAGATTTTTTCGCATTTCTATTAATTCATCATCAAACCAAGAAATTGGAGCTTTACTATGAGTTCGTGATTTTTTAATGGAAAATTAATTTCAGTTAACTTAACATACATTTCGGTAATAAATTGAGCTAATTCTGTTGCTGTTTTGAGAGAAACAACTGAAGCCCAGTCAACGTTGTTTAACGACTGTTTTAACATCCGGATGCCATTACTTGTTATATGTCTTCTGTATGGATTAGCACTATGTTTTTTTTCAGATTTTATTTTTAAGTAGAGAAATTGTGCATGATGATCAGAAATACACGGGTCCACAATTCCACAACCAACTATCTCACTGCTTATGTTTGTTAAGATGTTATCTAAACAAGTTGCTGATCTAGTTGTGATTCTAGTAAATTCATTAATATTTATGGTTAATCCAAAAGTAGAAATTAGATCACGGAAACTGTTTAATTCATTAGAAGCTTTTTTAAAATCAATGTTGAAATCTCCAATTATTATTATTTCTAAAAAATTAGCAGAGCAAAACTCCAATAACTTTTCAAATAGCTCTAGAAAAACTTTAAAATTCCCATTTCCGGTTCTATACACTGTTACTAAAATAGTTTTAATATCTATAATTTCTAATGCACAAAATTCACCCTCAAATTCACATGATATATCATTTAAGCAAATTGGTCTGTGTAGGGATTTTATTATCGCTAAAAATTACAAACCCTAATTATAATAATACATAATAATATTATTATGCATAATTTTTATGAGAAATTAATTAGATGCAATGAACTATTTTTTAAAACAAACAATTAATACAATAATGAAAGTTTAACCTGTAATTACCTTGTTGACTGGTCTATACATGGTCGTAACGAACCAGCGAGTCCAGCGACGTCGAAGTACAAAAGACGATCTTTGGAGTGGAAGGGAGTAGAAAGTGGTACCGTGGTACGACGAAGACGAAGTGTGTTACTCGGTCTCCATATGTTCTGCCATAGTATGTGATAATAGCAAGTGTCTCAGTAAAATACCCGAAAAATGGGTTCCAAAATAGAATACGTCGATTCTTCCCAAATTTACGCCACCAGCTACGTAAGAAATTCCAAAGCCGTAGGAGTATTATGGGCAATTTTTACGATATGCTACGCTATCATCGCAATTGTTTCTTTTATAACAGCTGAGTGGATTGGTACTACCAGCGGAGAAACTCCCGGAAGGATTGGGTTGTATTCAATTTGCTATATAGGTGAAAATGTTGAACAGTGCAAGGAAAATTTTTGGGATACATTTATGGAGCTCGCTCATGCTCTTCAAGCATCTATGGTGTTTGTAGGATTGGCTGTTGTCACTGCTTGGTTAACCATCTTTGTTATGCTGTTCTTTTGTTTTTGTCGTTCCACCACTGTCTACCATATATCAGCATGGTTACAACTAATTTCAGGTAAGTCGTTTTATTAGGTATTTAAAGATAATATTTGGAACTTTTTAAGTTAAGTATAAATAAATCATGAAGAATTTTTATTTTCTACCAGAAATGTTGATCACAACATTTCTTGATGTTTTTAAATGGTTACCTTTGTTTATGTTATTAAATAATATATTTCCAAATATTTATGCCCCAGAATATACAATATATAAGTTCAATAACGTTTTCAAGTTGACCTATATAAACAAAGGTAAATATTTAATTTTACTTTAGTCTATATACAGTCATCCTTTACCTTTCGACTTTACGAATTACATTCTAATAGTACAAATACAATACCATAAAAAGTCAAACAATATTTATTTTAAAGCAATTTGATCACCAATAGATAAAAATTACAGACACCAATAAATTCTTAAAATGATAAATTGAAACTATTTGTTTATAAAAAATTTCAATGACAAATAATGTTTAAATTATTTTTATTTATTTATATTTTTTTTGTAGTCAGTGTTACTACCCCTAGGCCTTATGCAGGCTTCAGTTTGCGTGGGAATGCTCCTAAACAAATTGTCAACATTTTGTTGTAGTAAGTTGTTTTTATTCGTTTATTGTGGTTTTATGCCTGTTGTGTTCTGCATTATAAAAAGGCTTTTTTCTTTTCTTCACATTTTGTCTTCACTTCCTGTTTAAACCATGGTGTTTACGTTTTTGATATGTTAGTGCTCGATATACGCATATCTGGTTGATTACGAGAAAGCGTTTGATCGAGTACAGCACGCCAAGATGATGCAAATAGTAAAAAAAAACAGGAATTAACAACCAAGATCTGAAAATAATTAGAAATCTTTACTGGAATCAGACAGCAAATCAGTTGAAAGTGAACACAATGACTATGTGAAAATCATGCATGGAGTGGGGCAAGGCTGTATTTTGTCTCTTCTAATCTTCAATCTGCACTCTGAAAGAGTATTTATCGAAGCTTTGCACGAAGCTGAAAAAAGTATTCTACTAAATGGTTATCGGCTAAACAACATCAGACATGCAGATGACACCATAGTATTTGCGGACAACGTAGAAGACCTACAAGTTCTTATGAACAAAATCACGTATTACAATCAATAATATGGACTCAATATAAATGTTAAGAAGACAAAGCGTATGATAATTAGCAATAAAAGGATAACAGAAGATCAACTCTGTGTCAATCAATCCCCTGTAGAAAGAGTGACGCACTACAACTACCTGGACACCATAATAAATAAAAAATGGACCAACCATTCAGATCCACCTTCAATCGGATGGGGGCCCTTCTTCAAGCGTCACAACTTCTCTCTTGATACAAAGTAAGAATGTTGCGATGCTACGTCTTCTCTGTCCTTTTTTATGGTGCTGAATCGTGGACCTTAAACGAAGATATGTGCAGAAAACATTTGAGATGTGGCTATATTGGAGAATGCTTAAAATTCCGTGGACTGACGGAGTCACAAATGATGAGGTGCTCAGAAGAATGAATAAGAACCAAGAGGTTCGAACATATTATACGAAATGAATCCAGATATGCTCTCCTTCACGCCTTCCTGCAAGGACAAATATTTGGAAAAACGAGGTCCAGGAAGAAGAAGAAACATCTGGTTAATCCATTTTCTACCAGAATATCAATAAATATATTTTTTCATAAATATAACTGCAGATGACAATGGAATGAAACTAAATAAACGTAAAAATATGTTTTTATTAATTTTTTGTTATAAACATAAGAAAAAAACGCTGTGACCATATGGTCACACAGGGAGGTTACCTATATATACATTATGTATTTACTACTGTGTATGAAAAATTTCAAAACACTCAATGCAAAGTCCTAAATTACATTTTTTACATTGTGTACGTATCACAGAAGAACATCCTTCTCCTGCACACCTACGTCTTTTACCGTTAGGAACTGGAACAACAAGATGGTCAATTTTGTCATATCGTAGATTGTCGGGCACTCTATTCATGGACAGACTATTCTTGCTGACTGAAGGCTTACCAGGACGTCTAGGCGGTACTCCATATTTCCGCATATACATCTGTGCAATTTCTCGGCGGAAAACTATATTTGGTGTTTTTTTTCTTTCCTTTGAGGACTTCTTATAAAGCACCCACGCGTTATGTAGGCATACGTCAACAAGCCAAGTAAAAAGAGGCCAATACCACTTTTTACTTCTGATGCCAATTCTGTATCGTGCCACATCTTCATCCATTCTATCCGTGCCACCCATGAATGTATTATATTTTGCAATAATCAAAGGCCTTTGTACTTTAATAATTTTCTTCTGTTTCTTAGAGTATCTCTTGACGTAACTTTGAGGATTGATACCGTAGCAAGTTGATGCAGCCGTAACTACAGCATTATCCATCCACTTGACCAATATAAATCCGTCATTTTTAGATATAACATAATCAACAGAACCTCTAGTTTTAGTAGCCATTACTTTGTTATCCGGCAAAGGGCAACACTTAGGAACTCTATTTTGTCTTATTGTTCCAGTACAGTCATATCCCCTTAGTTTTAATTCTGCAAGCAAATTGAAACTCGTAAATAGATTATCGGTATAAATATGGTAATTTGGCATCTTATTTGGTAGATCGTCAAGCATTTGAAGTAAAGGAGCTGTTGCACTTCCAAATTTTTCTACATAACTGTTATCAGTTGAAATCTGTTTACCTTGATATAACTGAAAATGAATCAAATAACTGTCTTCAGAATTCAAACACCAAGCTTTATAGCCAAAGCGTATTGGCTTACCTTTGATAAACTGTTTACAGCTATGTTTCCCAAAATACTTGATCATTGATTCATCATAATTCATGTGCTGGGTTGGTTGAAAGTACTTAAGACATTTCATTTGCACCTTTTCTATAATGGGGCGTAGTTTCCACATTTTATCAGTCCTTCCAATTTTGCTGTTATCGGCAAAATGAATACATTTCATGATTTGATCAAATCTATTCCTGCGCATAGAATTTTTCACCATGTGTACTGCCATGTCATCCTGTTGATCCCAATAATATGTTCTGCCCGGTAAGGGATGGTAGCCGGATAAAATTAAAATTCCGAAAAAACATTTTAATTCATCAATGGACAGATTTGGATCTGGAAAATTCTTGAACGCAGCATATTTTTTTGTTTCTTGTAAAATATGTTCAAACATATCGTTGTCAAAAAATAGTTCGAATAGTTGTAATGGACTCATGTCATAAAATTCATAACTTTCAGATTTATTCTCGTTTTTAAATTTTTTATTATGTATCAAATCTCCCTCTATCCATTGCTTGATCTCAGTTTTTTTAGAAATTCTACATTTTTTATTTTTCCCTCGTTTATCTGACTCACCTGTTCATCAGATTTTGTTGTCTTTATTTCATCCACAGAGTCTTCCTCTCCTTGTTCCATATTTTCGTTACGATTTATTCGAATTTCAGCTGGCGCTAATAACTGTCTATGAGACAAATTGTCAACTAAACCACCATCGTCTTCGTCCCCGGAATCTTCATCCGTATCCTCATGAACATCTGGAGGACAAATAAACACCGATGTTTCATCATTTTCTATATTTTCGTCATCATATAACATGGTCAATGCTTCTTGTAATGTAAAACCACGTCTAAAAAGAAAAACCTATTAATTATCACATATTATCCCTGTGTGACGTTATGGTCACAAACAAATATTAGAAGCTCTACCGCATTTGATACAATACTTTTGTGATAAATTATATAAACATGTCTTAAACACATGTCTCTAGATCCTATTTGTTCAAAAATATTTTTGTTTTCTTTAAAAATAAGATTAAAAAATATTACTTACTCAAAGCGAACGTCCATTTTGATGCTTTCTCGTTGTAACACCAACAAACATCAACTATAACACGACTTTGCCAGTGAATTGATCAGGTACCGGGTATGTCATTCGTTACATAGATATCTCTAGTCCGCGTAGTCGTATTACTAGTTGCATATATCGCTGTATGTGTTAAATATTGTATATTTAAAAGGGGCCATTTAGTGTGACCATACGGTTACGCTAACAGAGAACGGGTTAAAGAACCTCAGAATCTGGTTTAATACAACATCTGTGTAGCTTTTCCGCGCTGCTGCAGATAAGATAAAGATTGCCATGATGATCGCCAACATTCGTAACGGATGGGCACATCAATAAGAAGAAGAAGCATAAGTCTAGCGAATGTAATGTATACAAAAAACAAGTTACGAGTGATAGGTTCATTCTTGTCTTATACTAGAAGCAAGTGTGCGTTTCATGGCTTCATGAATCCAAAAGTTATTTGTGGTCACGAGATGCACACGTACTTCTCAATTAGAATAATTTAAAAAAACTGAAGAATAATTATTAAAAATTCATAAACTAATACTGTAAAGGTGTTTAAAATTTTGGTCCTTTGAGAAACCATGTCTTAGTCCAGGGTAATCAAGGCATGGTTTGTCAAAGTGTGATGCTTGCAACGATTGTTTTAACTTTAACGGATCTATTTATATCTGTACAGCCCTTTGTGTCCAATTTTGGACATAGGCCTCCTCTTCCTCCTTCCACGTCCCTCTATTGTAGCTAGTTTGTATCCACTTCGGGCCTGCGTGTTTCTTCAAGTCATCTGACCATCTCATTTGTGGCCTTCCTCTTTTTCGTTTGTAACTATATGGTCTCCAGTGTATAATCATCTTATTCCATCTGTCGTCTTTCTGTCTTATGGTATGTCCAGTGAACTTCCACTTAAGTTTTGCTATCTGCGTTGATACATCGGTCACTTTTGTTTTGTTGCGGATCCAAGTATTTCTTTTCTTGTCTGATAGCCTGATGTTCAGCATTTGCCTTTCCGTGGCTCTTTGGGTCTTTGCTATTTTTTCCATGTTTTCCTTTGTAAACGTCCAAGTTTGAGAACCGTAGGTGAGAACAGGAAGTATACATTGGTTGAAGACTCTTGTTTTTAAATATTGGGGTATTTTTCTATTTT